CAGCCTTCTGGCCATTTAAATACAGTTCCTCATGTTGTGGTGACCCAACCGTGAAATTATTTTTGTTGCTACTTCATAACTGTAATTTTGCTACTGTTATGAATCGTAATGTAAGTATCTGATATGCAGGATGTATTTTCATTGTTTGAGACCAACAGGTTGAGAACCGCTGCAAGTTATCCACTGAGCCAAACTGGCGAGGGCAATTGTGGGCATGTTATTATTCAGACTTATAATTTATCTTCTAATTTCCTAGTCATCTCATTTTAAGGGTAATAGAGGCAGAAGTTGTAGTGTTAAATGTTTCTTCTAGTAGGTTAATTGCAAGAGTAATGAAATACCTGAATTACATGTACAAAATACTAGTACACAGTTGATGCATCAATATAATATAAAAATGAAATTTGATAGCAGTGGCTTTTAAACTTTGTTCTTAAATATTACATCTATGCTTTTATTAGATAGGCCATACATCAAGCTACCTTGTAACATCAGTGGTCATATACAGTAATAGACCTTTGAATTTAATATCCTTGATTTCCCTCTTCATGCATGTCCCCAAAGTTCCGACTAGTACTAATTTGTCATTTTGCAGATGCATGGATTGGAATAGCTTGTACTGATGGGAGCAAATCATGTTAGTCCAGGAGTGAACCCAACTGACTACTCTGCAAGAACTTACCAGGGAAACTTGCTTGTCCCAATCTGGTAATCACTACATTGTAACTTCTGTGAAGAGTAAAAATTTAATTTATTTGTGAAAAGTTGTCCAGAGAAAACAGCTAAGAGCTAAGTGGTACGATATGAAGTAAGAATGCAAAAGCCTACAAAAAGTGATATTTATTTCACCATGATTTAGTTATATGAAGTGACCCTATTATATGCTCTACAAAGAAGTAAGAAGTGGTTGGTAAATCTGTGCTGGGCATGCTCCAGCCAATAGAAAGATGGCTCATCAAGTAAGAAAATTTTAGCAAAATTGCTAAGGCCATTGACTTTTGGGAGAACATTTCATCATTTGGGGGAATAAATGGGTTCCCATCTACTAAGTACTTTCAATAGTATTTAGTACATAAACACGATGAAAGAGTTAGCTGTGATGATGGTGGTGATAATGATGAAGACGTGATTCTGGAGCGAACTGTTATTTGAGAGAAAACTGACTTCTACAGGCATTTCTATACACCAAATATCGAAGGTGTATTTGGTATAATTGTCTCCAGTTAATTACAAGTATATAAAAGTAGAAGGTTTGTTGTGGTTTTATCAATTTATTCCCATCACTGCTTATTCCTATGGAGGGTCGCATGAATCTCAAGAAGCAAATATCTCTACTACTCTTAAAATTATCTCAATTAGAGTCACTGGAGAAAAATGTATACAATTATGAATGATTCAATGTGGCTACTTAAGCCGTATGAATTTAGAAACATGCAAAAAGATTATTTTAAACTTCTAAAAATATTTTAGAGTTTGGATATCTTTCTTTAAGTTCCATCTAGAAAAATCTCTCCTTCCCCCAGGTCCCTCAGGCTCATGGACCCCTCCCTCTGCTGCCTCTGAATGCCCGGCTCCTACCCTGTCAGTATACCAGCAGCCTGCCTTGCTGTGGCTCTTACATTCTGGATTGTAATAATTTGCATTTCTCTTTTATATTTAGACTTCAATCCTGTTGAGGAAGAAAGCAGGTCCTCACTAAATATATGAATAGATCTCAAATAATTTCACATATGACAATATGAGATTAAGAGAGACTCAATATTTCAAGCAATGCAGGTGTCAGGCAATGGTCATATCAGAAAGAATATAAGTTTCTCCTTCCCATCATCCCCCCAAAATATTTTGTTATGAGTTGATAGTGCACAGCTGCAGTGGAGGAAAGTTGTTTTGTAAAATATTTATCTATCCACTGCATTTCAACAATCTCATCATGTATGTACTTACATTTTCCCAATTTTCAGATAAGGTGATTAAGAGAAGCTAAGAGAGGCAGTGTGTCCAAGGTCACAGGTAATAAATGGCAGGGCAAGTTTTGAAACAGATGTTCTGACTCCTTAAATTGAATTTTTTTCCCCACCATTCTATTCAAACTAAGTTGTTTTTCCACCTAGACTAGCCTATTATTTGAGCTCTAAAGATACTTTTCACACCATGTCAAAGTTTAAGTTGTTAAAGCCTACAAAGCTATGATATAGTTCCTGAACCTTATCTGTCCCCACTATCTCTAATGTGGACTTATAGTTGAGTTTGCCTGTCCTGTCCTCTCTTATAGACATTAATGCCTGAATTAGTTGTATCACTGAGAGGATAATGTCAAGACATTAATCTATCTGTAACATTCATTGAGCATTCTATGACTAAGCTGTTACTTTTACTGGGAGAGGGGATTTGCTTAGGAGGCAACAAGTAAGGATTTTCATTACATTTAGATACCACACTAATTCAGAGTTATCACCAATGATGGTATGTTAACATTTAGGGACAAATGGAAGCCTCCTTTTCTTTCCACCAGATCTTTCTGAATTAAGACTTTTTTCATACAGAACCAAATTAAGTTCTTGAATATTTAGTATCCCTTAGTTCCAAGGAAAAGCATTAAGCCTGTCATTGAGGTAAATTAATATTCTGGTTCTGAGCAGCTGACAGAGTGCGATTAAGAAAGAGAAGAGGGAGAAACAAGAGCAGGTGTGGGAGAGGAGGGAAGAACTAAGAGAAGGCTTCTGTTTGCCCTTCACCTGGGCACGGATTCCTCCTGCATGCTTTATCTCCACGCACTTCCTTCTATAAAGAATTGCTCTCCTGGACTCAGTTTGTCTTCTGTTTCAATTGGTTACTTGCTGGATTACTTTGGTCACACAAGAAAAGATGCCATATTAGCAATAAAATATATTTTCAGCTATTGATATAAAATTATTTTGTTCTAAACAATACTTTATCTAACTTTACCATAAACTAATTCAGACATAAAACTGAGGAAAAAGCTTTAAAGAAGGAACAAAAAGCATTAACATGAAATGAAAGCATCTCTCCCTTACTTTCTAGCACCATCTCTCAATTGATGATGAGCTGAGCTGTCTCTCTTTGTAAGGCCATCTCTGCATGAGACCAAGTGCGTTAAAATCATAGGGTTCCGTTCTAGCTGGTGGATTGGGTGGTTGTGGTGATATGTCATAATATGTAGTTTAAAAATTAATAGTAGATGAGGTGCCTTTATATTGATGTGGTTCCAGCTGGCTGCAGGAAACTGTGTGAGCTTTGGGGCTTCACATTCTCTATTGCAATGGCTGGAACTTCCCCTCTTCCACCACCCACCGCCCCCCCTCCCAGCACACACACACACACACACACACACACACACACACACACCTTCTTTGTTAGGTTCTGTAGGGTCAGAGCAGCATCAAGACTATATATCTAGCATGAACATATTTCACACAAATCTGGATAAAGGCAGTTGAAGCAAATATCTAGATTTTGCTCAGTAATTCAGCAGAATAAACTCTTGTTTTGGAGCAAAGAATACATGCAGTGATATTTGGAGCAATAAGAAGCCTGACAAATTGGATGATAGTCTTTTCCAACAATCAACTTTAGGCGTTTTGGAAATCTGTACAACCCTTTGAGCCAGCTGGTTTACTTGAGGATGTGTGAGAAATGATGTTGTGAGATTGTGTAGCAATCATATAGACAAGTCCTTCAAAATAATCAGGAGTTAATGCAGAAATTTTGAGATAGTAGAGATTTTAAATGGAATTTGGCATATTTTAAAATGTGCCCATTATGTTTTTTAAAAGATGAATGAATATATAAATGAATTGGCTATTGATAATGTCTTCCCTTAAAATGTGCCGGTAAAATCACGACAGATAACTAACTGTTTTTTTAAAAAAAAATTTTAAAAACTTATTGGGCAAATTATGTTGCGTGGCTGAAAATTCTTAATGCCAAAGTAAGTTCCAGGCCATCAGAGGACACTTTTAGCCAAGGTGTTTGCACGAATGGTTACAGAAAGCACTGCATGTAATTTGGCCAAGCTATGTGATGGCCAGGTTCTGGCCTAACAATGTGTTTCTTTTATCTACCTTTCTACTCTCTATTTTACTCTCTGGTTCTTCACATTGGTAAGAAACAAAATTAATCAGCAGAATAATAATAAATAAAAAATAAGATAACTTGGCATTAGTTGTGAATATAGAAAATAAATAAATAAATAAATAAAAAGATAACTTGGCATTAGTTGTGAATATAGGAAAAAATGGTTAAAAATGTATTGGTTCCAGGGTTATGCCGTTTCTTTGTTTTAGGAGATTGTGGCTAGGGTGAATAGTAACCTTAGTAAGTATTACTGGAAGAAATAGCAAATTAAAAAGTACTTAGATTAAAGTTTCCCTTGATGAATAATACTATATTTACTATATTTCTGTGATTCTGAATTTCTATCTCTTGTCAGATCTGACATCAATTTAGTATAGCTCTTTTTTTTAATGGGAAATACCATAAAATGTAAAAATTCATTGTAAAATAATTGCAATTTTAGAAACATTAAATGTGGGAGGAAACAAGCATTAAGGAAATAATTTTGTCTGAGGTTTGTCTGCGATTCTGGAGCAGTATTTTAGGAAACTAAATATTGATAAACTTGGACAATATGGAATTTTGCAGACCACCCCTTTTATATTCCCCCAGCCAATATAATAAATTATTGACTGGCTGTGCTAGAGGTTTCCTTATCATCAATCTTGGTTTTGCACAATTTTGGTAAATCTTTTTATAGGGGCCTTAGTTAGCAAGTTTAATAAGTTTATAAATATGTTACGCACATGGGATGTAATTTGGGGTGTAGAGAGAAATATAGGACTCTTATCCTTTAAAATAAAATGCTGAAATTAATACATGAACTTTTTATTCAACATTTGAAAATACTATAAAAAGTTTAGAAAAGGAGGCTAATAACTGTACTTCATTATTAATGAGATAACTGGGAAAAGCCCACACATCTCAAATGTGGGGCTATATTTATTATCCAGATATTTAAACATAAATATGTTTATTTAAACAATTTACATTGTATTTCATGTAATATTTTTTAAAATCTCTCTAGAATAGTTGGTGGGCTGAAGCCCAGAACCCAATGAATTTACCATTACCTACCAAATTCATTTTTAGAAAAATTCATTGTTATTTACTCAACAAATAGATAATGGACTTTATTTTTCAAGGAGGAAGGGCCCAGATAGCATGGCTCAGTGGTTGAGCATTGATCTATGAACCAGGAGGTCATGGCTCCATTTCAGGTCAGGTTAGGGCACATGCCCAGGTGGCGGGCTCGAGCCCAAGTGTGGGGCGTGCAGGAGGCAGCCAATGATTCTCTCTCATCATTGATGTTTCTATCTCTCTCTCTCCCTTCTTCTCTGAAATAAATAAAAAATATATTGATAAAGAAAAATACTCCAGATATACAATGGCTACTATATACTTTGTTTTATATAGGCAAGATACATGCTAACTGTGTTTTATGCAATAATTCTTTTCACTTTGTGTATAATGTGCTTTAATTCCAAATGCACTGATTTTGTATGCATATCTTTGAAAATTACTTTGAATCACATCAGATATGTGTGTGTGTATGTGTGTGTGTGTATGTGTGTGTGTGTGTGTGTGTTTGTGTGTATGAAAGGTATATATATATTTTTAAATATATTTTATTGATTTTCCACAGAGAGGAAGGGAGAGAGATAGTTAGAAATATCGATGAGAGAGAATCATCGATCAGCTGCCTCCTGCACACCCCGCACTGGGGATGTGCCCACAACCAAGGCACATGCCCTTGACCGGAATCGAACCTGGGACCCTTGAGGCCGCAGGCCGACGCTCTATCCACTGAGCCAAACCGGCTATGGCGGTATATTTATTTATTAAAAGTATATTTATTCATAAGGGAATGTAAATAAAAAAAACATACATAAAACAAATCTAACCCATAAGTATAGTATTTAAAAAACAAAACGTATGATGACTAGGAAAGTGAGCTCCATTCTTAACAGATGCTGTATTATGTTTCATAGTACGTAACAAACCCTTTTCTTTAGCTTTTGTGTATCATTATACTATCCAGTCATGGCTATTTAATAAAGTAGAATGGAAGAATATTGACATAGTTCTTAAAGAATAAATAAGAGAAACCAAACAAGATACACATTAGCTACAGATGGGAACTAAGAACCACAAATAAGAGGTTAATTTTGAAGAGCTGCCTGGGCTTCCTGTAGAAGTCAGTCAAAATGAGATTGAACTTGAAGACTTGCATATCTGACCTTTGCTGTCTCCAAAAATTTTTTTTGTCATAATGTGTGTGCATGTGTTCACGGAGGTTTACCTAAATGGAATAGATTGGAAAGTAACATGATGGAGCACACTATCCTCAGAGAACTCAGTGATTCCACAGAGGTCTGTGTCACCTGGAGCCATACCTCCCATCGAATGGCTGGTGGAAATCCAGGATCTGAAGATATGGGTGTGAATCAACAATGAATTCCTTGGCCTTGCCCCATTCTTATTCCTCTTTCTAGAAAGAGCACAAAAAGGTGCTTCAAGTATTATGCTAAGCAAAATAGCCATTCAGAGAAAGAGAAATACCATATGATCTCCTACTATGTGGAATCTAATGCACAAAATAAACTGATGAACAAAATGGAACCAGAGCATGGACACATGGAACAGACTGGTAGGCGCCAGAGTGGAGGGGCTGGGAGTGACTGGATAAAGAAGGTGAACAGATTAGCATAACATATATGCATAACCCATAGATATGGACAATAGTGTGGTGAAGACAAAGGAAGGGGGAGATAGGGGCGGGTGGAGGTGGGCAAAGTGAAGGTAAATGGGGGCCATCTACAATAGTGTCAGCATTAAGTTTTTTTGATATAAGTATGTATACAGTGAAAAAAATAATATAAATTAGAAAGCAGTACTGTGTAATAGTTATGAGCTTGGGCCTTGGAATCAGCAAACTTGCTTTGAGTCCTGGCTCTGCCCCACATTAGTTTCTCCCCAGCAGGTGCCTATGACTAATGAGCTATTTACTAGGCTCTAAAGTGTAGGAGGGAGGGTGTGTCCTCCCAGGGGCTCTGCAGCTGGTCTCTTCTGGAGGAGCCCTCAGCAAGCTAACGGCTTCTCAGCCAGAGCGAGAGGTGGTCCGAGAATGGCTGGAACAATCCTGGCTTCTGTTTTTCTCCGAGGTGTTTACCTGATCATTAGCACAGAAATGGTGGCACAGAAAATGTTCAATCATCCATCTTCCTGTCCGGTGGTTTTTCCAGTTACCCCATGAATTACACATTTTCACCGACTGAACACATAACCTTGGCCCAGGTGCCCTCAAATGCAGCATTACCATGAAAGCCAAGTGTTGACTCTGCAGCCATTTTTATTTCTGTCTGAGACAGGTTTCAGGTTAGAAGATAAAACACTCTTGACATCTTTAATGCCCTTTACAAGGCCTTTTTATAAATAATCGTTGTCAGTTGATAGTTTTCCCCCCCAAGTACTGATGACATTTCAAAACAGAATTTGGTGGGTGACTGCAGGTTGTTTTTGGAAAATAAAGACAACCTGTTTAGTTGCTTTACCACCAAATGCCTCTTTCATTATTTTGCCATTTTAAAATGTTGTCTTAATGCCTCATAGAACATGTGGCACCAATGAGCTAATCATAATCAAAGAAAACAGTGATTCTAAGAGTGGTTTGCAGCAACACTTTCTACTGGCATTATGCTTGCAGAAGGAAACATTGTTAAGACTTACATTGGGTGGGTTGTCAGAGTGCCGGTCCAGGGTTCAGTGATGCACAAAGCTAAAAAGCATGTGGTGTGTGTGTGTGTGTGTGTGTGTGTGTGTGTGTGTGTGTGTGTGTCGGGGTGGGGTGGGGGGATAGTGAAGAGGACTGTAACAGTTTGTGGGTAGTATTTTATTAAAAAATAACAGACATTAAGAAAAGTATATATCTTAAGCGTATGGTTTGACCCATTTTTACCATCTGCATATGCCCACCTGACTAGTGCTCAGAGCCAGAAACAGACATTACCAAAACCCCAGGAACCCCTCTTGTAATGCCTTCTAACAACTGTACCCTGTAAGGAAGCACTACCTGGCTTCTACATCATAGACGGGTTTTGCTGTTTTGAACTTTGTTGAGATGCAGTCATAGAGTGGGTACATTTTATTCCTGGCTTCTTTGCGCAGCACTGTGTCTGTAAAATCCACCCACGCTGTTGCATGCAGTGTGGTTTTGTTCATTATAACTATTGTCTAGCATCGAGTGAATACACTATAATGTATATGGATGAGTACTTGGGTAATTTCCAGTTTTTACCAATTATGAATAGTGCCATTTTGAACATTCTTATAGATGTCTTTTGGAGAACATATGAACGTTTCTGTTGGATATGTAGTGATGAGAGAGAATTGCTAAGAACTGCTGAAGTGCTCAGCTTCAGTAGATACTGCCAGTTTTCATCATCTCTGTTACCTTTTCAAAATGCAAATAATCACTGAAGCTCTGTTGCTACATCATGGTTTTTGAACTATAGACTTAAAGACTCAATAGAAAGACTGCACCAGAGTATCATGGACTAGTCCTTCTCCCTAATAAGAACAATGGATCTATATAGCTATGTACTGTGTTCACTATGAACACTATATACACTCTATGGACCAGACTGTTATGTACAGTTTGTAATAGTTTCTCCTGAATGTTATTACATTTTATCTAATTAACTGCTATTGGTTTTCTCATTGCTTTTTAATAATCTTTGTACCCTCAGCACATAGTACTATGGTATAGATACTCTTATTAACTCCATTTTATAGATGATATACAGAGAAGCTAAGTAACTTGCTCAAAGTTACATAAGTAGGAAGTAGGGGAGAATGTGTGTTGCTGCTTTACATGTAAGTCAAGTCATATTCAATCTTCAAAAGGTTGACCTCGATATAATCCTGAAGACCAGACCTGTGTGCAGAAAAAGCTCACAGGGCTGGTAGAGTCCTTAATTCCACAGAAGACAAAGCATTTGGACAGTTTACATTAAAATATGCGAAATGAAAACTTGCTGGCTTGTAATGTGTACCAATGCTAAATTCACACCAACCTCAGTGAGCATAGCCGAGAGACATGGTTAAGAATAAGGGCCCTGGACCTGGGCTTAAATCCCCATCATCTTATCAGAGAATCGAGTTCTCTACAGAAAACACATCAGACCTATACTTTCCTTGAGATGCTTTTTGCTGGGGTCTTGCTCTGCAGTCATTTCTTTTGTGTATCTCTGTCTGACCATGAACTCATTGAGGAGCAGGTGTCGTGTCATAGTCAATTGTATTCCCTCATTGTGCCTGGTGCTATACCTTCATGATAAATATAAATATACTAGAGGCCTGGTGCACAAAAATTTGTGCACTCGGGCGGAAGGGGGGGGTCCCTCAGCCTGGCCTGTGCCCTCTCGCAGTCTGGGACCCCTTGGGAGATAACGACCTGCTGGCTTAGGCCTGCTCCCAGGTGGCAGAGGGCAGGCCCCATCCCTAGGTGCAGCCCCAGGTTGGGCTCAGAGCATGGCCGATTGGGGCGTTGGGGC